TGGGGACAATAGAATGTATTTGAATGCAAAATTACGGAATCTCTTAATAAAATCTGAGAACCACATAGTAAATACTTCATTTGCAAAATGTCAATCAATTGTCTTGGACTTGATTGTTCATTCGTTTCCACACCAATCATTCTCTGTTCTCGTTCTATTTTCTACGATCTTCTTAACCTTCTACCGCTAGGCATTTCAGTTTTGATTGATGATTTATACTGCTTATATCTATCGACATCAGTAGTACACACCACAGTACGGACTGTTTTCACTTGATAGTATTATCAACCATTATTTGACAGTATTGTTTTGTACGCTGTCAATTCGTAAATTACTTAAAACTCTATCGTATAAATTGATGAATACCAACTTCCTATTTTGTATTATCAGTATTTGAAATAAGAAAGAATATAGCTATTCAATTGACGTACTTACTAGTTTAGTCTAATCATTTCAACTTCACTTCAAAGATCAAACTAGTTCTGTTGTAAATGTTTAAGTTGCAGTACTGTCTTCTATGAACATTCAGGAATACACTTCTATAAAAGTTGGCTTTCTATTCTTAAGAGAGTACTGACTATCTGAATTAACAATTTATGAAAAGTAGAATTGAGAGTAATGAGGTAATAAACAAACTAGTGATTCCCTATGTTGAATAGTTTGCTATGGTGACACTTAAGGAGGAAGCCAAAAGTCGATGTAAGAGGAATTGAAGAGGGAGGTTGACTATGAATACAGTGGTCTTGAGTACTATTGGAAGTATGACGGCGGTTATCACTTCCCGGTTGCTTATACTGTGGAATGATTCCCAGGTCTATCTAGTACGAATTTTAGCAGTCACAAGTAAATCAATAGTCAAATCGAAAATAAGACAATGTACACCTTGAATGTATTATATTGTAATTAAAATTCAGCGTGTAATAATTTATAAAGCGATCATTATTATACGTAAACATCATATCATTGTTAGACATTCATTGGTCATCAACTGGAGAGTATTTAAGCTACGATTGCTTATTAAAGAATGTATTTATGGAAATCTCGGCGAATGAATTCGAAGTAAATTCAACGTTTTGCTCGGTAATCTGGTCCAAGCTTTTTGAAGGAAATATAATCAAACTGATCGAATATAAATAGGTACACGGTTCTTCGGTTCACTGTATACTGAATAGGTCATCCAATCTCTGCTCACATCATTTACGTATACACACAATCTGTCATCTTAATACTTTTCACACCACATTTCTCTTATACACAAATGTAAATACCTACTTTAAACATTGTTTACGTTGATTGCACTACCGTCCACCATTGTCTTCAGTGAGTTACTATCTCACAACAGATCCGGTTGAACCCCACTGGTCACTGCTTTTCACTAGTGAACATATGGTGATTAGTATCAGTTTTCGTCTATATCACAGTAATTTCAATAGTTGAGATCATGAGTCGATTGAAGCTAGACCACCATGGAAAACCTGGAAGGCCGTTTCGTCCTATGGTGGGACTCCTGAGCATTGCGCACCTACGATCTCGCCTCGCGAGATTTAAACCCAGGACCCATCGGTCTCGTGCGCGAACACTTAACCTCTAGACTACTGTATCATTAACCGACATTACCTAGGAAACCAATAAACGCATGAGAACCAGTTTTCAGATTCACATAAATGTACACATATAAATCAATCACCAACGGTTAAGTCACATTGAAAACGAGTTAAATATTTACTAATTATGATGAATGTTAATCGAGGAGTATGAAAATCAACTAAAGTTAGGAATATACAAAACAGAATTTCAACTGTGATTGACTGGTACAGTAGTCTTCATGAAGTGAGTTTTTAGTTTAACCTCGTGATAAGAGTTGTGAGCGTATACTTATTAAGAATCCTACTCTAAGATGAACTAGATATCCAATTATAAGCCAAGATGGATAGTGGCTAGCAGTGGAATCCAAGACGCGTGCTTCATCCTGTTTGGGACTCGTCAGCTGGATGTACCTGTATCTCAGAGTTGATGTTCACTCTGGGACTCGAACCCAGTACCGTTCGCCTTCAATGTTTGTTAGCTTCTCATAGTTCTATAACTAATGTCTCTCTCTGTGGTATTTTTAATTATTACAAATGGGCTAAGTAATTTTGGTGTTAACTAACTACTATATATAAAGCTTATAAATGAATATCTACTATGCATCTAAGAGTTTGTAATTACTGGATTTCCCATCAGCAGTATGAAACTGACTACAGAATGCACGAAAGTCAATACAATGACACGGAGAACTTCCCATTATTTCTCAAAAATATACCAATGAAACGTCCTCACCTATTGGGTATGTTGCTTAATTGGACAATCTTTCTTACTCAGTTATACTTAACACACAAATATATTGAGAAATATTGTCTATCCAGTTGTACAGTTACTAAAAATCCAATATGTAGCTGATTGCCTCCTTCTGAGGGTCTTTTGATTTCATTCGACCTTAGTTGAGTTTATTCATGTAAAAGTAACAGAGAAAGCGTTTGACAACATGGATAGGAGGACCTTCTTCGACACTATCATGCACCTGAGAAAATCGTCAATATCATACGACGGACTACATTGCAATGTCGTGCTTGGAGGACAGCTGACAAACGTACTCCAAGTGGGGACCAGTGTCAGACAAGACTTCTTACTCTCTCCATTTCTTTTCCTTCTGGTGGTTGACTGGATTATGAAGACCTTCACATAAGAGGGGAGGAACGGAATAAAGCCGACAGTTCATAATCAAGTAGACGATTCGGACTTCGCAGATGACCTAGCTCTTCTATCCCATACACAGCAACAAATGCAGGTAAGACAAACAATGTAGCAGCAGCCTCTGCATCAGTAGACCTGTACATAAAAAAAGGAAAAACCAAGACCCTCAAATACAACACGAAGAACACAAACACAATCATACTTGATAAAGAAGCTCTAGAACAGTTGGAAACATTCACGTATGTGGCAGCACCGTTGATGAACAAAAGCTAGGATCGGTAAACCAAATATTTACAAGCAATTGTCTACACAAGACACTTAATGTCCATTGACCGGATGCCATCAGCAACAGCCTACTATGGGAGAGAACAAACTAGCTTCCAGCTGAAGAAATTAGGAAAAGACATTGGAAGTGGATAAGACACACATTGAGGAAATCATCAAACTGCATCACGAAGCAATCGCTAACTTAGAATCTTGGAGATGAATGGAAAAGGGAAATACCAAGAAACATACTTCACTAAAAATTGGAAACAGACATCGAAAGAATGAATAGTAACTGGAAAGGATTGTTCAGGACAGAGTTGGATGGAGATTGCTAGTTGGTGACCTATATTTCTCTACGAAAAGCAACACAGTAACCACAATAATATGAATAACAACATAGTGACAGAAACATTGTTGACAGCAACTGAAGAATTAAGGTGGTTTATAAACATTCTATTGTTACATACTACTCATGTGAATATAAGTAGCTCACAACACAATAGTATCCACTCGAAAATGTATACAAACTAGTAATACCATAATTTCAAGAAGACAAAAATAAAACAATCAAAATCTCCAACAATGTGAACTAATTCTATTTAATTTCTCAGATAATGAAAGTAAACAAAGGAGAAACTATTACACATTGAAAAGATTAACTGGGAATTATACATACATACTACATACACACACACATACATAGGTAGAGAAATACAATAATACTAAAAATGTATTATGCATATAGAATTTCTCTTTTTTTACTTTTCTATTTTTTTTCTCGGTTTACATTTCTTCAACATAATCACCTAATATTGGATTTTGAATATCATCAAGACATTGTATGATTTTAAGTTCAATTCGTGCAGATTTAGAACTGTCCAATGATTCTAAAAAAGAAGAAGATATAATTGAGGAATGACAGTGAAATATATTAGTAAGAAGAAAGGTTAATAGTCTATCATCTAGATCATTTATTGATGGAAAACAATGAGCTACAATGTCAGAATGCTTAGGATGTGTTTCTCCCCCTCTAAATACAAGTTGTTGCTTTAAGACTGATCTGCATCAACACTTGAACTAAAGATAGGGAGTGAATTAATCGGACGAGTTGACAACTTCACTTATCTTGGAAGTCTGATCATCCCTAATGGCTTGGTGTCTGACAAAATCTCAGCACGGATATAGAAGGCTCGACTATCTTTTGCCAACTTGCGTCACCTATGGCGGAGGAGAGATATCTGTCTATGAATTAGGGGACGGGTATACTGAGCGACAGTTCGTTCTGTTCCAATTTACAGCTACGAAACGTGACTATTAGGAGTAGGAGATACTTGTAAGTCACTAGTATTTGGTCACAAATGTCTTAGAAATATTGCCAGCATCTGCTGCGATCACCGGGTAAGTAACAGTGAGGTGAGACGGATCCATCGTATTAAAGAATGATGGTGAATCAGTTGATGAGGTTGTGGACCTTCATCGACTGAGATTGTAAGGCCACGTGTTCCGTATGCCTGAAAACCGATTACCACGACGCGCAATGCTGACTAGTGTTGGAGATGGTTGGAAGAAAGTTAGGGGTGACCAAACCAAAATGTGGCATCAGTGCTTGAAGTCACTAACTTCTAGTCTTAGCTATGTTGGTAGATGCAGACTACTCGGTTGACTATTGTAACCAATGTTTAGAGACCGTGGGTGACATGGCTCAGAACCGATCACAATGGCGTCGGTGTATACAATCTCTGTCTTCCTTTAAACCATGAGATCAAAATTGCTTTATATCTTGCTTTCTATCAACTAATTCTTTCTTCCTGTATGATATCCTCATATGCAATCTTTCTTTTATATATTACCACCAATGAATTAACTATCTCTATGAATTCGGTGTTCATCTCGTTGTGCTAATCAGGTGTGGCAACTTAAACGGAAGCATATATGTGCCTGGTCCTACGTTGTAACTGACTGACTGTGACAGTCATAGGAGGATTTTACTTTCTTGTAAGCGTAGACGATCAATGATCAAGACCAGTCACATGGGATCACATTCAGCTGAGTGATAATTATATACGGAAATCATAAAACAAATCAAACTAACTAACCACCTTCGGATATCTTTAATGTTTTTGATAGAACAGTTTGGATTGTACCAAGAACCGATTGGAAAGCATCCTAAAAAGGAAAAAAATGAAACAGATACTTGTTAAGTTAAAAGAGGATAAAATAAGAAAAAATGGTTGCGAAATCATGATTCCATAACTTAAAGAATATTTAGCACATTTTTAATGAGTATCTACCAGTGTAACAACACAAAAGACAACCATTTCTAACTAAGCCGGGTCAACAGTAAATTATATGGATATATACATATATATCAATGTTTTATTCAGGCTGTTTGGCAATGGTAGGTAGTTGTAGAGTGGCTGAAGGCAAACTGAACTGGTACTTAAAGTGTTTCACCTATCATTTTAAACGTCTGAACTGAAAGCAGATAAGAGTGTCGTCTTTTTCTGAGATCGTCTTATTTACACTTGACTTCTTAATTTCAGTTTCTTTTGTCAGTCTGAAAAGCTGTCTGGTGTTAAGAGAGCAAGAAAATACCCCAATACCATGGTACGGCCGAAAGTGAGGAGAGTCCGCTCACCGTTTTGAAATGCTCTTACATGGCCACGCGTATATAGCCTCTGTCAGGGAAGTCCTACTCACTACCTTCTCGTGTCAATACTATTGTTTACGAAATTGAGAAGACGAAAAGTGAATGTCCGGTACATTAACCGGGTTGGTGGATACGAAGAGTCTACCTAGGACAGTTGGAAAACCCTTACTCCAAACCAATGTTGTACATGGGTTCCAGTATCCTCAGGGAAAAAATGGCGTATAAACCAATTGTTGGTTACCGGCTACCATGAGAATGAATCTCCTGATGTTGCTCCACTGTCTTGTGGGTCAGACCTTTAGGTCAAAGGTCCGGGCTGTGGCCCGTTAAGAAAACCACTTGCTTCGGTCTGGGCACCCGGGCAGTATCACAGTCCATACACAAATAAGATGAAATAAAATGAGCAAGAAAATATTGTATAGTTAGAACTGAAAAAATTGTAGATCATGTTGAATTACTTTGAAGGAATATTTAGGTGTTTGTTGTCCATTTTCATTTACAATTTTTGTCTCTAAATGAGCTAATGTTAAAGCAGCAAATAAATCTCCGGTTCCGATAAAATGGCAGTCAAAATGCGGAATTTTAAAACGTACACGATCGTATTCTGTAAAATTTAGAAACAAAAGTACACTTAAAATCTTACAAAAGAGTTGGAATTTCAAACCGAAAAATGCATTCTTTAGAAATCGTTTTTATTACTGACATCATCAGATGGAATGAATATTAAGATAATTTCAAATTAAGTAAATTTGTATTATTTATCTCAAGTTTACTTTATTCGAGTCACCAACTTTATGGTTGAAGAGAAGATATCTCTACATAGTGGCAAAGAAAAACTAGTAGATATCTTTCTACTGAGTTAATAATTCAAAAGTAACAATCTATTGTGAATTTCATGATAATATAACCAGAGATATTTTAATCAAAGATGGATAATGACTAGCAGGGGAATGGAAGACGCATGTTTCGTCCTATCTGGGACTTGTCAACTGGATGTACCTACATCCCAAAGTTGATGTTCACTCCGAGACCTGCACAAGCAGGTGGCTATCAGGATTCAGTAGCTAAGTGGATAAGACGATGGAGTTTGAAGCGAACAGTACTGGGTTAGAGTCCTGGAGTGAACATCAACTTTGGGATGCAGGTACATCCAGAGGACGAGTCCCAAATAGGACGAAACGCGCGTCAAACCGGATTCCACTACTAGCCACTATTCATCTATACTTAAAACGCTTGTGACAAGGTTATATCGAGGCAATCCGCACAGGATGCACATATGCCAATAAGAGAGTGATCAACTGCAGTCCTAAATAACAATGGGTAGTTACAAGTAAAACAACAAGTGAATTATAACCAGATATAAATCAAATTGTTCAACATTAGTGATTTTTTAATCATATAACATTCATAAACTTAGTAGCTTCAAGAAGTAAACAAATAAGCAAGTATATTAGTTCAAAATGCAATACCTGAAGTGTTGTCCACAACCGAACCATTCCTTTGATTTAACAAATCACTACTATTATTAATATTTTTCATCGGATTATTTAAACGGCTTCCATAACCATACATTACTGGTGACAACGTTACATTAGTACTTGTAATAATTACAGTTGGAATATGATATTTTTTATGTAAGTAGTTGATACAATTTAAAGCAGACTTTTCATCTGTTATTCGTATACCACTTAGTATTCTGTTGTAATAAAGAGTAATACATAAAGATACACAAATGAGTCTTATAAATTAATGTATAGTACAATGCATGATTTACATAATATTATAATGATCTATTTATGGAAGGAGTCTTTCATTAACTGAGTTACGAGTTTCAACCCTACGTGGCGAGATAAGTTGTGGCAATACATTAACATGAGTCGATATAACTTATTTACGAAGCACAAGTTTATGGTTTTCGTTTTGAGCTACATTTTAGTTAAAAACTAACAACGGGATGCAGCTGTTCAAATCTATGACATATTGGTTGGAAGCCTAGTGCTTTAAGACTCGAACTATTATTAGGCCCTATCTACAAACATTGGCTACGTGTGTCGGGACCACTGAGTGAGAAATGCTGAGGATAGACACAGGTTACTAAGGAAAGATGGCAAATAGATTGATGAGATAGGTAGTGGATCTTCATCGACTGAGCTAACTAGGAGGTGTATTGAGTATCCCTAACTATCGCTTCCTCGATGTGTAGGAGTTGGTTATGGATGACCAAATTCAAGCACAAAATCAGTCCGTGAAGTAACTGACTATTCAACTGAGTCGTGTACGTAGGTGGAGACTACCTGGAGTCCACAAAATTATCATAATCAATGACGTAATACATTGGATGATATGACTCAGAATCCGTTAAAATGATACAGATGCATTCACTCTTCATTTTTCTCTAGATCTTGAGTTTAAAAATTACATTGTACGTCTTAGTTCGTGAATTTCTTTTTTCCTCTAGAATCACACTGTCTAGGTCTAATTCTTTCCGATATAACCGATACTGTTATTGCCTCTACTACTCCGGTATTCGTCTAGACTGTTTAATTCTGTTTTGATAGTTTGGTAACTTGAACAGACAAACGTGTTACGATACAAGTAACGTACGAGAAAAAAATATCTATAGGAAGACAAATCATATGTAGAGAGACGATTCAACAATGACACAGTAACAATAGATAAACCTTACTCTGCTTCAAATTGGTTTGGCAAAATGACATCTGATAAAGGGAGTATTCTTTCTTGGTATATCTGGACGAGTTCGGGTGGAACGTACTGACATAATTGAAATAGTTGAAAAACATTTGGTCAAAGCTGACGAAAAACAACAATAACACTTCAAAAAACTGGAAAAAGTACAAGAATATAGACACTAAGCGGAGTGGGGGAGTAAACTAAATAATAACGGTAAAATTATTTATTTATTATTTATTTGAACACATAAATATTGGTACAGTGGGACACCAAATTAGTCATTTCCCAATATATTCTACTCTTATGAGACCCAATATATCTTTCATTTTCAATAGTAACTAGTTTGATTTCAAAAGCTGGGCGCTGACTAATTGTAAGTATTTGTCAACGGCTACTAAATTTGTCAGAAATACAGCGCGATACATGTTGGGAAGATGAATTGATGTGAATATAAACAAACTGACTGTTTGTCTTAGATATACATATTTTTCATTTTGGACTGTTGGATATTACTATTGGTGCTTAACTAGAATAATATGGCACAAAGCATGGTACACGCAGACAGTCACTTCATAACATTAATATGAGTATAAAACTACGATAAATGGTGACAGACATGAGAAAAATGAACAAAAATTGGATAGGACTGTAAAGGAAGGCCCAGGACAGAGTGAATTGGAGAACGCTGATTGGCAGCCTATGCTCCGTTGGGAGGAACAGGCTCATTTGACATTTGATTTGAGTATAAAAATGTAGATTTTTGAACTTAAAACCTTGATATTAAGTATTTGCTAAAACAAAATGACTTGTCAGATGATCATACTACCCAAAAAACTTACAATTTGATAAACTTTTGTTTGTCAGGTCTTTTGAGTCAAGCAAACATTTAGGGTATCATTTTTACTTACATTTATCATGAAAATTTACCGTTTTTCGGACAACCAACATAATCTATATCAGAAGAACGTTATATTAATAAGCTTATTAACTGAAACTGATCTGAGCGCCTAGTTAAAAATTATGGGGCTAAAAGTATAATATAGATGGATAGGTTAGTGGTTAAGTATGGCTACGACGTGACTCAGATATTACATAACCTTTCGTACTCCAAATTATTGGCCTTCAGTCATTATTAATGTTTGAACTCCCGAGAATGTTGACTGGAATAGGTACGATATGCAGATTTTAGAAATGATTGGACAGAGAAACTCACAAGCTTTCCATTGTCACCTAGCACGGGATCGCAGTCTATTGAGTAAATTTTACCAAATTATGTACACTTACAATATTTTATATTTGAGTTCTCTTTTTTGAGGTCGGATACAATATCTGCGACCGCTTCCAAAGAGCTTGGCGACCCAAGATAACCTATAAACCAGGAAACGAACAATTTAAACTGATATTAACCAATACCTGTGAGCACATGAGTATACTTGTTCAGACCATTTGCCTTCAAACCAAGATATAAATCTTTCATACTCGCAGCATCCAACACTTGTCCCTTGACAAAATCATAGCCTGTATACGTTATGACTAGTAGTGCGCAAACCTGTGTGATTCGAAAACTGTACAGAGTTAATATAGTCGACTTCTATGCCTAAGACCTGTTACACAATGATACAAGAAAAAGAAACTAACTTGCAGAGGAAAAACAGCTATTTTATTGCCGACATATCCATGGACAACATGACTCTGTATACAGAGAACACGCAAGCAATTAAGTGCAACTTTAACTGCCATCCTAACTTCATACAACGTTCAGCCTTTGATAACTTAGGTCTAGCCAAAAAAACATGAGTAAACGTCTGTCGATATTTGACAGATACATAAAATGCACATACATTCAATAACAAAAAACAATTGGATAAGGTTATAATTGATGCAAACATATCTAGAAGTCAACAAAAAAACATTGTAAGTACCCTACATGCGATTGGTAACGCTTCAGGGGTATCGTCCACTGAAGGAGGTTGTGAGCACTTGAAGGTCAAACTGTCTCAAGATGATTGTGCGTCACATCGACAACTCGTGAAGTTTTTCAGAGGCGGTCAAATCAAGACATTTTTAGATTTGAATTGAGTTCAGCCACACCATGTCTGATAACGTCCATCCTTCAAGTAACGAAGATGATGCCATCGTGATGATGCATGATATAGGACGAATCTTCAATGATATTATGTTATCTCGGAGATTTACAAGTTGGGACAATTTTGAGACCTGTTTGAAAGAAGTATATAAGGTAATATGACTTCTGTGGTTAATGATTATTTTTGTAGTATACGCACACTAGGTACGTTATGTCAGTATGTAAAAAGAACAATGATGACCCAAATCTAAAATGCGTTCACAGTGGTACCCAGGTTGTTGAAATCACATTGTAATTAATTGAGCTTAGACATTAAAAATATCAATAACATTTTACAACGTGTTCAAGTAAACACTGAAGTTAAAGTACTAAGTGAACATGGAAACATATCTATGATTTGCTTCAGTCGCAGGGAGCAAGTAGCTGTTTACCACGCGTTCCCAGAGGTAATATGTATCGACTCGACTTATCGGACCAACAAAGTTGGGTAAGTAACGAATCGCAATTAATTTATCTTACAGTTTTCCACTGTTCCAGCTAGTGGTGACTGATAGTCTTGGGCAAGGGCACACTGTTATGTATGCTCTTTGCAGGCAAGAACGACGAGATGTCGTAAAACTATTGGAATGCTTCAAAGATATAATGTGCTGTACTTATGATACACGCACTTTTGTTATGGATTCGGCAGCAACCGAAATTTCAGCAGTGCAGTCTACGCACAGTCATGCCGACATAGTACTTTGTTCATTCCATGTCTTAAGAGCATTTTTCAGGAAGGTAAGTGTTAGCTGTACAAATTATTTTCTGTAGTTCCTAAATCCTGATGTACGCAAATGCTTGGAACACCTTGTAAAGACTAGACGGTCTGATACGTGAGCTTCGTTTTTCGTAATGCATTATATTAAGATTTACTCAAAAGTACGAACATCTGAGGATCCATTTCCCACGGGCGTATGATTACATCAAGGATTACTGGATTGCCCGGAAGTCAATGTGGGCTCGTTGTTACCGGCGACACGTATTAAGCCTGGGTAACCACACGAACAACCGTGTCGAAAGTGCTCATAAACATCTAAAAGAATGTCTTAGAAGAGGTAATTCTCTGCTATTGACGCTCTGGAAAATTTGGAGCAAAACAGATACTGACCTACGTTTGCGTCCATATGACGCTGTGAAGGATCTTCAACGTTTTCCAATTCTTGTGGTAAGAAATATAATTAAATGTTTCATTAGTTCCAGGTTCCTATGTCATTTCGAACTCTTTTAAATGAGTTCACATCTTTTGCAGCTAAAATTTTAGCTGCAAATTATAAACGTGTTAGGTCAATGAGACACGAATGTATAGCAGGGGAATACATTCGGTGCTACGACAAGGGTATGATGTATGTTGTTGATACTTCACGTGCACGATGTGCTTGTGAGCGTTTCAATGACTACATGCTGCCCTGTGGTCATATTCTGTATGCACACTCTAAATATCTAATAAGCGGAGGTGTGTGTTCCTTTGTCTCTATAAGCATTGTAGACTTATTTCGACATAGCAGCCGGTGGACAAGGAAATATATAATGGACTTGGTTCTTTGTGCGATGGACAACATGTCAATCTCTACCGGGATTGATGATCTGCTAGAGAAGTTCACTATCAACTACCACTCAATCCATGCTCTTAGTGAACCCTTGGCAAGTAAACTCATCCGTTCATGCTTCGAAGCATCGGAAGACATATGCGCACAAGTGATGAGTTCAATCAGTGCTAATGATGAATCTACATCGTCAGAATCCATTGTTAACACTGACCATAGCTATGCTTCTTGATGACAAGAAGTTCTAATATTGTAATATTTGTAGTTTTACATAGATTTATTTATCTGGGCATTAACTCATTCTTATAGCGTTACGGTAGGGAGAGTGTACTGTGAAGTCTTATGTCGCTGTGAGAAAGGGATGTTGTTACGCGTTCTTGTGTAATAATTACCAGTTTAGCGCGCACGCGATTAGTTATACGCACTGTTTAGCAAACACTGCAACTTTGAACATGATTTACTATACTACTAGGTCGAATTTCGACTTGTCACGATAGGTGAGCATTGCCGTAATTAAAACACTGATGTGTTATAAATGAGAACGTTTATTAAAGTTTAAATCCAACGAAAATGATCCATTAATGAATAACTTCCAGTTCTTAAGAATTGTTCCAATTAGGTCTGTGAACACTTGCGAAGCCAGCTGGAAATAAGATAGACAGGAAATAACTATTACAATATAAATGTTTACCCAAAACTAATATAGAAAGAGAAACCGGTATTTAATTACAAATCGAGAGTGCATTTGGCACATCACGCTTATTTGCTTTATATATATATATATATATATATATATATATATATATATATATATATATATATATATATAAAAGACTGCTATGTGAACTTACTTTGAATCGTCCTGTATAATCTGCAATTATTGGTGCCTTTCCTGTTTTAGTCTCACGCAAGGTATAATTAATTGTCATTTACGGCATCAGCATATAAGCTAACCAGGCCTTCGGTGATTTTCGAAGATCATTATATACGATCTCACACAATCTGGTCACCTGAGATCAAGATATCTTGATTACCCAATCGTACTTTCCGATGCTTTCTCGTAACCGCTTTATAATAGTACTTATTTCTGCTATTAGCTATCTTTGCAAGAATACCGGCAGCCTGAACATTGGAACTCTGTTCAAGAGGTAATATACTACCTATAAGCTAATTAGCTTTATAAAGCAATCTTAGCTTACTCTCTGGTAAAATCTCCACATAATTGTACCGCTCTCGCATGATTATGATTTATTTCCTGCAATATAATGATTTGGTAGCTTATATATCTAACTGTAGAAGGTGATATTAACATATTGGTATGTGTTATAACCATCTACAGCATATACATAATATTGACAACACTAAGGACAGCTAATATTTTCACTATTAGCCTATGTCTGCCATAAAAGTCGAACAAAACAGTCAAAATCAGCCAAAATTGTAATAGAGAAGGGAAAAACGATAAATGTTATCATGGTATCGTTAGTTGTAGCGCAGTTTTGGTAGCCTTGACGACAATACGATTTTTATGACAATATATGGTTAGATAATGTCATTTCATATAAAAATAAACGGTTTGTCTGCTCTGTTTGTATAGTAAAGTAGAAATAATTGCCAGTCTGCGATGCAAATCTGAAAAAACTATTATAGTAGCACCTGATTAATGAATTTTCAAGGACTTCGCGATACCATGTACCGCAAAATAAAATAAACCCTTTTCACTTAGTTATGAAGACGGAAAATGATTTTTCAAATTTAATTATAATAAATTTCAAATTTTGGCTGTGCACAAAGCAGAAATGAAGAAGTAGCGCAAAAAAGTGTCGCGATCCATCTGGAGCGCTGCCCGCTTCAGGGGTATCGTCCACTGAAGGAGGTTGCGAGCACTTGAAGTTCAAACCGTCGCAAGATGACTGGTGCGTCACATCGACAATCCGTGAAGTATTTCAGAGGCGGTCAAATCAAGACATTTTTAGATTTGAATTGAGTTCAGCCGCATCGTGTGTGATAACGACCGTCCTTTAAGTAACGAAGACGACGTCATCATGATGATGCACTACATAGGACAAATCTCCAATTATATTATGTTACCTCGATAATTTCAAGTTGAGACAATTTTGAGACTTATTTGCAAGAAGTACATAAGGTAATATGACTTCTGTGGTTAGTGATTATTTTTTTAGTATACGCATACTAAGTACGTTATGTCACTAAGTAAAAAGAACAATGATGACCCAATTCTAAAGTATCTTTTCGTGAGATATGTCTGTACATACGAACGTGAACGCAGTTCGTCAGAATCAGATGCTTGTGTTCAGGATGTAGATCATGACAGTGATCATCATACTTTCGAAGAACATACAACTTCTAACTCACCAACACAACCTAGAAAAACAAGACGACGATCATAACGGGTGCTTTCAAGGAAAATGAGTTAGATATGACCTGAAGGTCATAGTACTGTACAACTATTCAATAATCAATCACACTTTGTCTTCTATGTACCTCAGTACAATTTACAAAAATTCAACCTTGATTGTAGCTTTCCAACGGTGACTTGTTTTGAATTACTGTGACTTGTAGCCTCCGTGATATTTAACGGACGGATACACTGAGAACTCACTCATATTTGTCATTTCCGAACAAGTATGCAGTTTGTCGTGGTTTTTTAAAGGCTAAATATGGACATCTTGCTTTTTCATTTCCACTTAGAGAGAGAGGAATGTCGTCAAAGGTCCCTTGGAAATCAGGAGAACAAACCGAAATTGCATTTGTGGGGCCAATGAAATGTCGCAGCGCCCTAGCCACATCATCCAGCAGTCGAGTCAGTGAATATTGAACGGTTTATCGTTTGTCGCCAATGTCAGGGAAAACCAACACTCTCCAAGCAATTTCACGCCACGGCCTAGCCGGCACGGTGGAAAAGTAATTTCTGCCTTTTCCACCCATGTGGAGCGCGCTATCGTGTGCATCGTCAAATCTATAATTGTCGGCTTAATGCTCCAGTTTTGCTATTTTGTTGGTTTTCGTGCGTTTTAAAGTTTTGATTCATACTTAATGAAAAAGAACCTTGATCTATGATAGTGCTAATGCTTCATTTGTAAAATTGTTACATTAACTGTATTCTCGTCTCTCATGTCAACCAAACATCGTTTAATTATAATCTGATTGGTAAACAGGTTCACACTGATGTATGCTATGAATTTAAACCGAATTCCTGTTCTTGAATATCTAACAACCAATAGGTATTATTTATCACTCGAGTTAATGTTGATATCTTCTATTCATTCACAGAATGATAAACTTTGGAATAAAGTACAACGTGGGTGAGTTTGTACTCG